TGAATATTTTATATATATATACACTCACACACACACATATATGCTGGAAGAGGTTTGTGCTTGGACAAAGGCTGTAAAATATATCTGCCGCCACCACTGCATGCCACTGTAATTTCTAGCTCGCTGCTGTCATAGCTTGCCATCACTCTCTGGAATCACAGCTTTCAAATGGGTCTCTGTTTGGGGATGAGGAAAACCCTAACCAGACACAAAATTCGGCATGTTCCAGATACTTGTACGCCTATGAAACTGACTGCGTACCCATGCTTCAAAGCCTTTCTCCATTCCCCCTTAGATCCCTATAGTCCTTAGCTAACAAAAAAATAAGAAAGAAAATCACATTGAATCTCATACACATTGGTGAAATATTTTAAGCACATGTTTATCTTGATGAAAAGAAGTTTCTTCGTAACAGGATTTTCTTGGCATGTTTAGTGCCAATAAGTTGGATTTTTGAATGAAATTTTACTTAGTCTATGCCTTAAATTCTTTTATGTCTTATGCCTTTAATTTACCTGCAGAGTTTATTATTTATTTATTTATTTTGTTCATTTTTGGTACATAGTACTTTAACTTTGCTGCATCTCCAATTTTGATTGTGTGGCAGATGTATCTTTGGTCACTCAACTTGTTGAAAGATTTTGAATCTAGTCTGTGGCTGCTCATCAGTTATATTCATATTTAGTCCCCACTTCTCTGTTTCAGGTTCAATCTAACTTTTCAAGAAAACATAGATGATGTTGATGGTTCTGACAAAGGGAGAGAAGAAGATGGAAGACCCTGTTTGTCTGCAATAGATAGAAGCGATGGTTTTCTAGATAGGGAACTTGCTGCCAGTGGCTTTACTAGAAAGAATGAAAAGGATATTCAGAGGGTAAAATGATTTTCTTGTTTTATGTGGGAAGGAGAGGAAACTATAGAGACCATTCTGTATCAGAATGCAAGTTAATTTTGCTTTTTCATTCTCCACCGCTTTTTGCTTAGCTGCCAACACCCAACATGGAATTTCTATATTGCAAAGCATAATATGATCATTGTACTTAGGGATTGGACTTGTCTCTTTTTAGTTATAATGCATGGGATTGTCAAGTGTTCATCTTGCATTTGATTCTGCCTCAAAGCTCTTCAAATTTGATGTGCAGTTCATTGAAGGCAGGGCAGATAGTGATACAAATTCAGATAGTGAAGGGGCTGACTCAGTGGAAGATCTGAACGAAGCAAACATTAAAGATGGTGATTTTTCACATTTGTTGGAGCCGGTAATATTTCGATTAGCTTTTGTGATCATTAAAGAGATGCAGGCTATGCATTTCATATTCTGAGAATTTCTGTGGTTTTCTTTTTGAATGTTATGTTTTTTGGTATAGAAAATGGAAAAGGGAATTGCTATTTATTATATATTGATAAGATCACTTAGAGGGAAAGAAGTATGTGTAGAGAGGAGGATCATATCCTTAACAATGACAGCTGAACAAAACAAAGAAAATAGAAACGTGCTCATCTGTTATAGTGATTGTCCTCTAGAGTTCATAAAATATTAATACTGTAACATAACAAATCTTAGGACTTAGATGTGTTCTTGGAAAAGGGCATTTTGTTCAAAACATGATAATATAGCTTAGATAGCACATTGCAATTAAAACCTTTCTCTCCTTTGCTCTGCAAAAGCCTTAGGAAAATTATAAAATGAAAATATTCAGCTAAAATGACACACACACACACGCAAGATATCAAATCAAGCAGTTTGTTATCTTACTCAAGCAAGTACCTGAGTTTTAACTTTTGATAATAGTGTGATCACTCTGGGATCATGGTCAGAATATTCTTGAAATTTCAACTTTTGCATTTTTGTAAGTACAAATGAAATTTTTATAAATATTATATCTCTCCTTTCAAATATGTAAGGGTAATGCTTCATATAAGGATTGCCCTCACCCTATTATCGCTAGTTGGGTTTTAATAAACGGTGGTTTATCATATCCCTCTCCTAAAAAAGGATTTTGGTAAAATTAGAGAAGAATTCTTGTGCTGATATTTGTTGTTCAGTAACAATGAACTGCTAATCAATTACTGGCTGCTACTCATTAATTGTTCTTAAACTGAATATTTTCACCAAGAATTCCTTTTTCGTAATTTTTTATGGATTTTCTGTTTGGCTGATTGAATGGTTGTACTGGGTAGAGTTCACCAGTAATAAGAATATAGAGGAAAATTTTGTAAGTACATTATTGATGCTTATTAGCTATGTATCCACAAAAGGCTGTAGTAGTAATCTGGAAGCCTTGTCAAAAGTGATGGAAGTGGATTGTGCCAACATCATGTGGCAATGAAGATAACCATGGTAGATATGAATCAGGAAATCAGTTCCATTTTATCCAACAACCTCTGTAAATGCAAGGGAAGGGCTCAAATTTGCTATTAAATGAACCGTGTCATAGTAAACATTACACATCAGCAGATTCACAGGCAACATGAGTAAACATAAGTCAGCCAGATATGTGACTTCAAATCAAGAATGACCCCTCTATGAAGGATGGACTAAAATTAGTTAGGTATTATATCTAGTTTTAAGTAAAGGATAGTGGCCTTTTAAAATCTGTAATATTACAAACAACATATAATTGATTCAAATGGAGATTATGGATATTTGTTAAGCAAACCAGTGCTGAAGAACTTAGGAAGATCTGTTTAACAATTGGAAGAATACCAAACTTGCCTTTTGGGCTTGAGGAGGTCGAGCTTGAAGCTTTTCTGTTAAGAATATGAGAATAAATGTGGGAGCTTCTGTGAGATGTAAATTTGAAATACCAATACTTAACATGAAATTGGTTTAATAGTACATACTGACTGGTTGGCATACTGGCATAGACTGACTGACTAGATTTTTTCAGCTTATTTCATTAGTTGAGCAATTATGTTTTCTGCAATCTTGATTTAAGGATTGGTGTTTTACTTATATAAAATGAAAACCATATTTTTTAATTAACCAGGTTGACGGACATGAAAGTATGGGAATAGAGGAGAGCTATGAAGCGGGTGAAAGAAGTACCTCTGACAAGGAGGATGGAAGTGACAAGGTGTGTTATCTCAAATTCTCAATGTTATGTTTATGCTGCTTCCTTGGCCTCTGCCTAATATTTGATTCAAAGAATTTTAAGAATTTTAAGTCTGGTTGGTTCATGATTAGTTCTTTGGGTAGCAGTGTATGGCTTATTAACAATGAATAGTATGCTTGTGCTTCTCTAGTGCATCTCTTTTTAATTTCTTTTAGTACACCGTAGTTTGTTATCAACGAGTGCATGGGTCATGGAGTTAACCCAAAAAGGATAGGGTATGACTGGGAGCACATTGAATTTCCAAATGTAGAATTTTCTCATACTTAGGCTCATTTTATTATCGTAACTTTGCTTGGAGTAGAATATTATTTCCCAGTATTTCCTCTTGAATCGTTCAGTAAAAGTAAAGTATTTAACAAGACATTCTTTTATTAAAAAAGTGGTAAAAGTGTGATGTGAGGGTACCTTGCATGCTTCCTTAATTCAGTTCGTAAGAGTAGTAGTTCTAAAGGATAATTGTTTTTTAAATGAATCTTATCTTATAGATAGTTTATATGATACATGTTATTTGGCCTTTGCATCAGAACCATAATGGTAGTAATTTTGATTTACAGGAAGAACATAATCAAAATGCAATGGAAAATGAAGCTGAGCTCGCAAAGAGCTTGAATAAGCAGAGACAACGTGCCATAGCAGCCTCTCATAGAGGACGGAAGACCTTTGCATCCAGGAATTCCTACAAAGACAAGGGTGGTAGGTCATCTCACAATTCTAAAATACAGAAACAGTTGAGCAGCTGGTGAGATTTGGGTGACAAAACCCATGTGATTGACCACATGGTTATGGAATATGTTATAAAGAACTAGAAAAGAATATAGTTTTATCCGTGCCATCTATCACAAGCATTAAAGTTTGGTTGGCATCATAGACTTATTTACATCAAAATATATGTTCAAACATATATAACGTAAGGAGATAGGAAAGCAAATAGGTTGTGTCTGTTGTACACGAGTATTTTTTTTTTGCCTATGGAGTATAATTATATCCCTTTTGCGTCGGTTATTTTCATTTGGAATGAAAATTTTGCCTTTACTATATTAGTGGGAATTTTTCTTCACTCAGTTTTTTTTTTTGGTAGGACTGAAAGCAACAATGAATTATCTCTACTATGTTGTCTGCTTATAAGATTTCAATTGTCAGAAATGCATAAGCTTAGGGCCTTACTATTTTATTTTATTTTGGTACAAGGGCCTTACTATTTTAGTTATAAACACTCAGATGTTTCTTGCCTTCAAATTGCAAAACGTTTATCCTATCTGTGATTGAAGGGAGGTAGGGTATCAAATTTTGAAACGATTAATTGATGCTAAATCTTCAAATTGCTCTCCGAGTGATCTGTTCGAAGAACCAGCGCTAAGTCGTTGGAGCTTATCTTCTAGCGAAGGGTTTGATTGCCATTTTCTTCTATTTCCTTTTGAAAACTTATTTGTTTATTTATCTATCTATTACGCATTATTGTTGGTTCCCTTTATTGCTGGATGCCACCCACTTAAATTGCTGATGTGACAGTCTAAAAAAAAAAAATTCATTAAATTCGCCTAAAGATTTATAACCAAAAATAAAATATCACTAAACGCAATTTCATCCTTAGATGGGTATTATTCATTCTGGAAAAGTTATATTTATAATTTATTATAATTATATTTTAGCTGTTGATTTTTGTGAATTAATAATTATTATTTATTGTGAATTAATAATTAATTGATTAATTTGATTTGTGAAAATAATAATTGTTGATTGGTGAAAATCAACGATTAAGATATAATTGTAAGAGATTATAAATAAAGATAAATTTTAAGTATAATCTTTCTTGTTCATTCTATCTTAACTATTTATAATATTGACGCGGTCGTTAACAATTTTTAATGTCAATAGTTGGTTGACTAAGATGGGTTATTGTCAACATGGATATGATAAAGAGGTACATGAAATGGTGCTTAAGAATATTGTATTTGTTGCAGGAGGCTCTTTAAGAAGCATTAAATTTCTTTAAGAACATTTACAAAAGTTGTATAGAGATAATATTGATGTTGTTCGGGATTTAAAGCAATTTAATTTAGGGTTTGATGTTTTTTTACGTTATAAGAGATAAAATTATTTTCTACACACACATAAAATATGTGATGTTCATATAGGCTCATATAAAAAGAAGAGAAAGAAGAAAATATGAGTCTCACATATTTTTTTATTTTTTATATATATAAAAAATAATTTTATTTTCGCGATATATTAAACCATTTAATTTAAATAAGCAATTGACTGTGGCGAACACATTTTAAGAAAGAAATATTTGAGTTCCGCTCATTTCTACCTCATGTCTGAAGAAAAATAGATGTGCCTAGTTTTAGGCTTTTAGAACACAAGATCTATATATGAGAACTGGCTAGAACAAAAAATGAACCACGAGAGACAAGATTTTGAGCAAGTAAAGTAGCAGAGAAACTATAGTATTTTATAAATTACAGGTATTTATAATATAAATACCCTACACTCCTCACCTATAGAAAGCAAATAACCAAAAACTATCCTAAATTTTTCCATGCTCCCCCCCCCCCAAAAAAAAAAAAACTTCCCATGAATTAACATTGTAGCTATTAGCCTGTAGTTTATTATAATTATCTAGTATTTTAAAATTCAGAAACATATTTCTATACTGACGGCAGATAAGTTATCGCATTCACTCTAAAAACGACATCGTTTTGGGATTGAAAGATTAAAAAGAAATAATGATAAAAATTATTATAACCCTGAAATAAATTAAAATTATAAAAATACCTTGATATTCACCTCAAAACAACGTTATTTCGGGTTAAATGTAGATAACTTATATGCATTTAGTGCAGAAAAATGAACCCTTTATAATTTTATCTCCATCTCAAAAGTGTAGCTAAAATTCTTTCCAAAAAATAATTTAATTTTGTTTTTTGGTATCCAAAAATAATTTAAATTTACTTTAACACTCTTTGTACTTCATTATTATATTTATGAGTCTTGTTTATCTCATTTTACATGAGATAAAAAATTTTCCTACACAAAAAAAAAGGTTTGGGACCTACCACTATTTTTTCTCTCTTTTCTTACATGTGGGTCCCACTTGTAATTTTATTTCTACAACATGAGGTAACTATTTTCCTACAACATAAGAAAAATATTTTCATATATTTATATAGGAAAAATATTTCTTTTGCAATAGGAGATAAATTTATTCCTATCAACCTAAAATAATATCGTTTTAGGGTTTAACAAAAAAGTAAGGGTATTTTAAAAATTTTACTTCTTACTTTATCATGAATTTTACTAAAATACCCGTATTTTTTTTTAACTACAAATCAACATCGTTCAGAGTTGCAAAAGATAACTTTATATCATGTTGCAGTTAATATCTTATGTTGTAGAAGAGAGTATATCTTATGCTAAGACACAAAGTGGTGGAGCCCAACCCTAAAAAGAAAAGAAAAGGAAATGACAGCACATTTATCGAAATGTCTATGACATAAGATAATAGTCTCCTACAACATGAGACTATATATATATATATATATATATATACACATCTCATATAGAGGCAGGATCTTTTGACACCAGTGTTAAATTTAAAATTTGACATCTCATCTGAGAGCCGTTAGATTAAAAAAGATCAATGACTCTGATTTGTAAACATGTGACACCATTGATCTTTTTTTATCTAACAGCTCTCAGATGAGGTGTCAAATTTCAAATTTTATACTGATGTCAAAGGATCCTACCTCATTTATATATATGGGTATTGAGTTGTGAACGATTCTTATTAGTTCTTTTCTCTTATTTATTTAAGAAATCAAGAATCAAACTCACCTAATTATTACCATTGTTTTTATAAACTTCTTTAACATGTCTAGTGTTAGGTGTAATAATATGTAAATATATTATTGAATTAACTTATGTTGTATTTAAAAAAAAATAATCAGAAGCTTCCTGCGAGAACTAAAAAAAAATTTCTTCAAGAGAATAATCTTTACTAAACATGAATTAAATATTGTTGTGCTAGCGTTTATGTGCCTAAATCTGATTTTGCAAAAAGAGTGATGTGATTTCTTTCAGGTGAACTTTGGTTGTACATACTACTATAAAATTAAGGGTCTAAACTGGATGCACTGGGTTCAGATTTCACATAACCCGACCCAACATTATCACGAGTGACGACCAAATTTTGTAGGCCAGTCTTGACCCAGTTATGAGATCAAAGCAAAAATTCAATAAATCCACCATTCTCTGACGGAGTAATCTTTTTTCTGCTTTTGCTTCTAAACAGGCTTAGGCCAGTGTGTGATAAGGTAACATGCCCAATTTGAGGTAGTTGTAAATTAATGACTGTTCCATAAAATTTACGTGGGTAGTTGTGTTGAATTGTTGCACTTGCAAATGCAGCAATCAAGATGATAGCTACTTTACAGGCATACAACGGACATGATTCATGAGGATAACAGAGATGACATTCAAATATTTAATTTTTTTCATACACTTTTTTTTAAAACATTTATATCTAGACAGAGATTGGTTACGTCACTGCAAGAAAGCGGAGAATTAATGACGATGTGCTCCAATGTTAGCTCCGCTTAAATACAATTAAGTGATTACTCATTTTAAAAAAAAAACATTTTGTATATTCATAAGAAAGAAAGTTCAAAGAAACGAGTGATAGTAGTCTTAAATTGAGTTATTCCTCTCAGGTTAATTGTCACTGCTCAAATTGAATCGCGCTGCCCAGAGTCCATTGGCATTTTGGGATTTTTGTGTGTGGATAAATGATAAAGATGAGAACAAATTTAAAACAGGTTGTCCTCGGTTGTAGCTTAAGTCATCAGTTACAAGGATATGATGAGGCTGTAGGATTATGGATTGAATCATCAGATGAATCTGTAATTAATGTGGCTGTTATGATATGATTGTTATTATTTGTATTTCAAATTCAAATTGTAGATAAGTCCTCTGTTTTTACCTTTTGTAATATTCACGTCTATATAGGAGATTCCTTTGTATAGTGAAAATGGAACATAGCAAATACCATTTCTATTAATAAACCACAAGTATTTTCAATTGGAGAAAATCTTGTTTGAAGAAGAAACATTCACATCAAGAGACTAGCTCTCTTAAAGGGATTTTCTTTTTGTATTCTCAAGGACTTGAACCCAAAATCTTGTTTAAGCAAAATCAAGTAGAGCTGGCAAATAAAGTTCGACTTGGCGGGTCAACACGCCCCACACGCTAAACGGGGCGACGCGGACTGAGTTTTTCAACGCATCTCAAAAGCGGTGCAGACTCATTTTTTGGCGGGCATAGGGCTTCCCAAACATACATAAATAAATGCTTTAGTTTTGTGTCTCTGTGTGCTTCCCATACATATATGTGCGTATGGGAACAACATATATAAGTACGTTGTTATTTTTATTGTGTCTGTGTGTGGATACATAAAGGATCTTATGTAATGGCTTTATTATTATTGCAACTAATTAATGAGGATTTAACTAAAGAAATGGCTCATTAATTCTTTTAATTTTTTGCACAAAAATCACATTTAAAACAAGTTTGAAATAGAAAAGAGGAAGAAAGATGGAGCCGCATGTCTTATTCTCAAGGAAGGATCCAAAATATCTTTTACACGTTTTATTCTCTTCCTTCAGCTATTTCTTGCAACTTAATCCCATTCATTAAGCTACTGTCTTGAGTTTCCACTTCATGTCTATTACATAGGGAAATTGTTGATCATACAACTTATTGCTGATCATGACATGCTTGGTGAGACTTTATTATCATTTGCTATTTTTAGTTTGACATTTCATGTAATGAAAATGTAACCTTTAATGCCAAGTGTTTCTTCTCTCTCTCTCTCTCAGTTTTGGGTGTTTGATGTGAAATTATACCTCTGTCATATAAATTCTAAGGGCCTGGACCATAGAAATACTGCTCATGAAGAGGAAATTTATTGCACAACATAAAATGAAGGCTCTGACCTTATTTCGAAAATGTGGGCGGATAATGTAGTAGCATGCCTGAATAAAATAAGAGAAAATTTCTCTTTCACCTATGGTTTGTGTGTGTATCATTTAGCACTCTATGGTTTAAAGATTATCACTTATATTCATTATAATTTCATCATTTTTTATTTAACCCCC